TTATAGGTAAAAATAGGTACAGTGAATTATTTTTTTTTAGAAATATTAATAAAACCTGTTTAATACAAGGAAAACATAAAAAATATAAATAACTAAAAATATTAAGAAATTCAACGAAAATTAGGTAAAACATCTCGGATTTTTTGAAAATTTGTTGAGCAGTTAATAAAATCTTCATGGTTGTCAAAAATAAGCTTTCATTGCTATTGAACTTATTGTCTCTAGACTTATATAGTGTATACGAGTAAGTCTCAAAATAACATTTTCTACTTAAGTAATGCAATTCTTATCCTCCAGTCAAACGCTTTTATTATACAAGGCGATTCATAAATGGTGACCCAAAATGAAACCTCGTATTCTTTGGTGAATTTTAAGGGAGTCTTTCCTATAAAGTTTTTATCTAGGACGCTTCGTTAAAAAGATACAGGGTACAGAAAAAAATATTGTTAATTTTTTTAAATAATTTAAAAACTAGTAAGTGAAACAATTTGAAATTGAGCACGTATTTATGTAAACATTGTCCAAAATCTGAGGGGTTTTCCTAAAATTTACATGTTCCAGTGGCGGAGATACAGGGTATCGGTGCCATACTTTTCTAAATAAAATAGTACGCCACTCTTTACGGTATTGTATTAAAAAATTTAAAATATTTTTTCAAGTTTAACACCCTGTACCTATCTTTTTAACAAAGCGTCCTAGATAAAAACTTTATAGGAAAGACTCTCCTTAAAACTCACCGAAGAATACGAGGTTTCATTTTTGGTCACCATTTATGAATCAACCCTGTATTTGAATATTCCCGTTACTTTTTGATCAAACCTCGTATTCCCTTCGCAGATTTGCCTCCACTTTCCAACGAAATATGTTGTTATGTCCGTTAGTAACCAAGTACACGCCGATTTCGAGTGAGACGTACATATTTTAAAATGATAAGTTATTTCCTGCCCCCAGAAGTGTCTCAATTTGTTGCAATTAAATTCTTGTCATACCGATATTTATTAGCGATTGTTTCGTTAGTATAAATAATGTCAACATTCCTCGTGTACCTAATAAAGATCGGGCTTTATTCGAAATAAATCACGTATTACAAAATAACGTATCGAATCTGGTTGCTAACATATTTACATATATGCACTCGTACCTCGTTGCACGGCCGTAAAATTGACCGATTGTTTTAATTATCTATTAAACAACTGGCAGCCGATGGATTTTACTGGTTCGTAAAACACAATGCCTTTTCTTATTATCAGTTGCAGGCCCTGGAATACAATTGGACTTTTTAGCACCGAAGGCATTTCATCCGCGACCGAGCTACAGTTACACTCACAGAACAGGTTGATTAGAGTTAATAAATAACGAAATCTACTTCTATGGAGATGTATTAGTGACATCGTATCCAATTATTGATTACTAGCGTCAAAATAATAAGGATTTTGATAGCATAACCGCCTCCACAGAGTTTAGCCCAAGAACGACACAAAAAAAATCATCGTACTTAAAACCACTATTAGTTTTGTCTATCAGAAGGAGTAGAATATCGTAGTAGTTTGAAACTGAAATGAAATTCACAATTTTCTTGAAAATGATGATGTTACATCAATTATTTAGTTGTAAGTACATTAATAGAATTTCTACGAATCTTTTTATGATTGATATTGATTATAGAATTTCAAAAGCTCATGTGAGATACGTTTAAGAATGTTAATAATACTCCATTCTTTTGAATGACTATCTATTTGTACACATATTGTTAACCAATGGTTGGGAATAGACTATCGTAATTTACAACATATTTAATGCAAGATAAAGCATTTATTTCCCATCACATTACCATAAATAAACAACATTATTATAGAGATCTCACAAAACGAGTGCCCAAGTATTTACGGACGGTTTTCAAGTATGTCTACCATTTAAGATAAACATTTGCTTGTGATTAGAATTGTTTCTATTAGTTCGAGTATAATAGTTTAGAGGGATCAGATTTTTGTTTTATTTCAAAGTAAAACCCACTCACATAAAAAAAGATATATCAGAATTTAAATATATACCGAATATAATCAAAAATTTTATAAAATGAAACATCCTTAAACAAATACTTTTAATGTTACGTAATATTTATAAGGAATCATAAATAAACACAAAACACAAGCCTGAATATGAATTATGTTTTATTCACCATAACTAATGTGTTACTAATACCAAATTTCAGTTTAATATATGTTGGTCTTTTAAAAAAAAGTTTGTTATCAACAAACCCTATCTATCACACAAACGAAGCGTTCTAAGACCTAGATTTATAGGAACTTTTCTTATTAAAAAATGATTCTCTATCAATTGTTAAAATCCTACCACAAAAAACTGACTCACCCTGTATATACATGGCGCCCAACGTGGGGCGCAATTAAGAAGAGGCTATTTTATAACGTGATAATAGGAAGAGATTATATTTAGAAGAAATAATATGGATCTAAGGAGTAGTAATGTGACAAGAAGAGAGGATGAAGATATAAGTATGTCTAAAGAAGAGCAGGAACAAGTGAAAGCAAGGAAACAGGACAGAAGAAGGAGATGACATGTTTATTGAAAATGTTCCAGGATGTAAAGGAAAAGAGAAAATAAAGAAAAGAAGATATTGAGAGACAGTTAAGTAAAGAAAAAGAACAAGAAAAACAAAGAAAATAAGATATTGAGAGACAGTTAAGTAAAGAAAAGGAACAAGAAAAACAAAGAAAAGAAGATATGAGTGAATTAAAACAAGTGATCTTAAGGAATACAAAAGAAATATCTGGAGTTTTGGATAAGAAACTAGAACAAATGAAGAAAGAATTAGAAAATTAGAGAGAATTAGAAAAAAAGAACAGGAATGTAAGAGCAGGGTTGTTCAATTATGGGAAAACATCAGGAGAATAGAGGATAATGCCCAAGAAAAAACTCATGAAATAGGAAGAGATGAATAGCTTGGAGCAGCGAATAACCGAACACGGACAGGACAAAATGTATATATATGAGAAACGAGGAATACAATCATGACAGAAAAACTCAAAGAAGAATAATTAAAAAAAAGAAATGGAAAATTGGAAAAATTTACAGATACAAATGGGACAGAATAGGATAGTAAGTTACACTGGTCAAAATTTGACACATAAATTTGATGGACGAATAAGACAGGAGAGAAGAGATATAAATGTCAAAACAGAAAAAGAAGATTGAATAAGAAAAAGTTAAATAAATTAAAGAAGATGAAAGGAAAAGAACACGAAGCGGATAGTGAAAATCAGTTGCTGAGAAAAAAGAAAAAAAAAATTTCTTAAGGAGTAAGGAACAAGTTGTTGTTTATTGTGTATGAAACTATAAAGGCAAGAAGATATCAACAGTGAAAATTAAAATTAGAGAAAAATTGTGTTTGAAGAAAGAGTAACGGTGTACACGAAGTTTGACAGATAACTAAAGAGTAATAATCAAATAGTCATATTAGTAAAATTATTTAAATTGTCGTAGCTAGTAATAATGGAGATAAGGAGCTATTAAGGCGAGTTCGGAAGTTGCAGCCAGCAGAGCGATACAAGAGACAGAGAAAGGAACAAATTGACAAAAAAGGAAAGAGTGAGGGGACGAAAATAAGGAAGAAGACAGGAGAGAAATAGCAGAAAGAAAATTACTACTTAAGAAATCGTAGACATTAAAAGAAAGAAAGAACAATAGACACGTATGTATAGGTAATAAGTAAATGTTAGTTTGTAGAATAAAAGAGTAGAAATAAATTACCGCAGGATAAATAGGGACATTCTTGAAAGGTTATAGATTTATAATTTATTTTGTCAATATAAAAATTTAAACACAGATTACAACAATACTATTTAATTTTTTTAACAAAGTTAATTACAAGTAAAACCTATTTTGTGAACCGACTACTGAGAAGATCTCATGTTCTATTAAATTTGATGTATATTATTTATACAAAATTGACCTAAGTAATCTAATTGTCATTGAAATTATCAAAAGTAAAATAGAAGCCCATTTTAAATCAAGAATACTTTATAAAAAAAAAATATATTTTTTTTTTAAATTTACAATTTATATTTCAAGATCAAATTGAGTGATAATAAATAAAAAGCTAGCCTGGTAAGTAATAAAAAATATATTTTCTAAAATAATATTCAAAATTTATAATATTTCCATTGACGCTCAACATTACATATTGCATAGTACACCAACATTAAAAACTAATTATCTTAAATTGAGCATCACAATATATTTTAACACCATCAAGATAAAAAAAATTAAAAATCGTGACTGAAATTCGTATGCCCGCCGTTTTTTGTTTCTTTTTGAGTTTTTATTGATTTTATTAGTATATCCTCCAACTACGGATACATACTTAAGAAAAAATTTTTGATTTTCAACTTCTACAGCTTACACAAAATGGACTCTTTTTTGAAGGTGATCACGGCGCACGACATACAACTGATCATCAAGACAGTATTTTGTACCAAGAAAAATTTTTCCCAGCATTGCATTTGTATCCTATTTGAAAAAAAAATCCTGTAAATTGTTTTATTTTTTTTTTACTAACTAGATGTAAATACTTCCCTAAGTTGAGATTTTATACACCGGTGGCACCATTGGTTTTAGGCACGTACCTTCGCATAAAAATTGAAAAAAAAGAAAAAATTGCGGTGATTTTCGACGTTTTTTTTTTCCGAAAGTGCAACCTCAAAGACATAAAGTCTAGTAGGTTTGATTTGATTCCTTGGCCGGGTGCAATAGTGCCGGTGGTTCGAAGATAAAAATATAATAAAAAAGCTTGCAAACTATTCATCAAATGCCCCGTATATCAACAGCGCGGCAGCGTGGCAACATAATCCGCCGCAACGCCAAACAATACCGAATAAATCACGTCCACGAAAACTGAGCCCCGCGCCGTCAGGTTATTCAAAATAATTGGGTGTTCCCCGATTCTTCAGCGGCCGTTGTACACATATATCCACCTCTAGACAATGCCCAGCAAAGATACAAAGCCACAAGTGCACTGGCAGGTACCACTGGACAGGGTGCGGCCGGACCAGCCCAACGATGCTATCTGTCTTCGGCCGGTCGTGTTGCACCCCTCATCAGGTATGCCCCTCTCCCCCCCAGAGGCCCGGCCCGAGCCGAGACGGCGCGCGAGCCGCTCGAAAAAATGCCGTGCCCGTCTCGGCGCACGCACCTGGTGCATTTTTTCGGTCTAATTGCATTACGGGGTTCCGTAAAGTGTTGCCGATTGCACCCGGGGGTGGTAGATGGGGGAAATTAGGGACGGTAGGAAGGAGGGCGTAAGGTGGAGTGCGATTCGGTGGGAATAAGCGTTTGTTTGAGGAGGCTGCGGCAGTGCGTGAAACGGGAATGCGTTAATTCGTGTCGGGGACTTGGATTTCTAATTCCACCTTGAGGTGAAGAAGACTGCGGTTCAACTTAGCCTTGTGCTCCAGTCGAATTAATGTTCGAACATAAAAAAATGTTTGTGTTTTTTTTACTGCCCATGAAAATCTAGACGACCTATTGAAAAATTTTTATTTTGTGTTGAAAGCAATTAAATTACTTACAATTTAAGGTACTTAAAGTCGTATTTCACCAATTTGTTAACTGTAAAAAAAAATGTTGATGAAATTTATGAAAAAGACGCTCGGGAATTCGCTCTTTTTGCATTAAATGGAGCTTGGAAGTTAAATAAATAAAATATTACTTAACATAGCGACCAATGATTTAGAGAAAGCAGCTTAATTGTTCTGTTTTAATATTTTAATAGAAACCCATAAAAAATTTAATTCGATAAGTCACTCATATAGTACTAGATTCAGAGACAATTATGTTAATCCGAGGTCTGTAAAATCAATAGGACAAAGAAATTTTAACTGTCTGGCTTCTAGGTTATATAGTAATTTTAAAAATATAAATGTATACAGCTCTTTTAAGCATAAAGTAAAGCTATGGATTCATGAAAAAGGCAGAGAAATATTTCATAATATCATAAGTCAAAAAAATTGAGATTAGTGTTTTATACATGTTTAGGTACATGTCCAAAGAAGTGGTGTATATTATCTGTTGTTAAATATATGTAGAAGTGTATTGTCCACTGTATAGTCAAGAACAAGCTGTAGTTACTTACCAGTTTATTTGCAAGTTCTGTTATATCATTGTTTTGTAATTTTGATTTATTTTATTAACATTTTATGCATGTTGGCGATTTTATGTTGATTTTATATGTTCTAAATTTTTCACATACTTTTGTAAATAAACAATGTACAACTTTTTGAAAATAAAAATTTAACCCTTTCTTTAATTGTCCCTAAAAACCCGGTCTGGTAGTTAATTAAACATTAACGTTATAAAAAAACTATCTTGATAACAAAAAGAGCGAATTGCCGAGCAGTTTTTGCCTGACTCTGGGACACTTTATTTACAACGTTGTTTTGCACATCTCACTTTGTTAGTTGTGAGAGCAACTTAATTTCAACTTCTTGAAATTTTTCTTTTTCGATACTTTTCTTTGGATCAATTAGAACCTACATCTATGATATTAATTTCTAAAATTAATATTTAATTGCAAAAACGAATAATTTTTCAAGGGTTTATGACTGGACTGGACTATTGCGACCTTAGATCAAAGTTGAATGTAGCTAGTTCAAGTTTTTCGTGATAATTTTCCTCTATTCACGTAAAATACATACACATATATTTTCATAATATTTCTTACTGACAAGGAAATCGAATCTTGATAATCTCGAATCTTAATCTTAATTTTAATAACTGTTGAGGCAAGTCTTGTTAATAATAACACTGTGCCACAAAAATTAAGTATTTTGGGAACTAAACCCTAGATCAATTCTTGTTTTGGCTCTATATCAATCTAAGAAGCGGTTTTCGAGATTTCAACCGACAGCGATTGGAAAAATATTGATATTCATGATCTACTTTCCTAACCTGTTATTTGAATGATTTTTTTCGCAAGAAACGATCGCTGATTGTACAGTCGAAGAAGAAAAATTACGATTTTTCAGTTAGATATAAAGAGAAAAACTCCGGGTGACTTTGAAAGATAAATCTGTATTCCCCAGATTATAGGTTCACAGGAGCTTGCATGCGCTAAAGAAGTCTCTTAATGTTTACGGTAAAAATATGAATTGATCCGGAAATTCTGACTTCACATTCGAATTTAGCGGGAAGAGCCCACATTTTGCGACGCTGCGTACTATAAAAAATCTAGCAGAACGACAGTTGCGGCGAAAGAGGAAAGATAATGACCCAAGACGGTGGCAATTCTACAGTTAACGCTAATAATAACTAAAAATACTATTAATTATTACTGTCGATGGTAATTTTTGCAATTACAATGTAAATGTAATTAGTATTCGCAAGTTTCTCATTACACCAGACAAAGGATCAGATGACACATGGCATCTGATGGATCAACACTTAAACCGGCGAATTTATTGGCATTTCGGTTTTTCTGATGAATTGATGAAATGGGAATCAGCTGCTGCTGAAAATAATACCGTCATTGTCACAGATATTTCAATGATTTCCATCGAATTTTGACACAACAGTAAAAACTATGATTGTTTGAAATAGTCGTCAGTACGACATAAAAGACAATTTTTTACTATCTATCCATCTATCTATCTATTTATACTATAAAATATAGGCATCCTATTAAAAAAAATGTCGGTAATGTTCTATTTACTGTTTCAGCGGTTTTTTAGATCTGGACTGGAAAAAAACATGAATTTGTTCCATCATTTTGGGATACAGTGTATAATCTAGATCTAAAATAAAATATGTCGAAATGGCAATTCAAGAAGCCCGAAAAATATTCCGAGGTAAAGTTATTTTCCGTATCTTAAAAACTACGTGTGAAAAAAATTATTGGTGAGAAATTCCTGGTAATTAAAAAAAATCAAATGTTAGGGGCCATATTGTGTATGATACAATGTGTAATAAAAAATATCAAACTTATATATAGCCAATAAAAACATTAATTTAATTAGTCAGTTAATTATGCGTATTCTTTAAAAATGAAACCAATCTTCTTTCTTCTTTTTTTTCTTTATTATTACTCGCATTGTTATCTATAATGTAATTATTTATTACCTTGGAAATATTTTTATAACACCAATAAAAGAATAAAACGTAAATAAATTATAAAAGTCATAAATTACGATTTTAATAAAATAAGTTATTAATGCCAAAAGTTACGAGTGTTTTCATAACATGTGGCGTTTTATTTGTGTTTTCAAGTAATAATAGCTGTTTCCTTTTTTAAGCAGTTTCTATTTCTATTATGTCTTTAATATCTCATACCATCAGAGGCTCTGGTAATCTATTTATGCTTGTATACTACTTACAATTGTATTAATTTAATCGGCCTACTTTTTGACCTGAACTGAAGCCTCCAGACATCTAGTAATAGATGACAACAGTTGACCAATTTTTATAAAATTAGACTGCACTATCCTACTTTTACTTGCTACGTAGACATTGGCCTAACCTGCTACGAAAAGGGAAGATCTCATCAATGATGGAACAAGTAAATACGTAGCGGAAACCGCTTGTCAGAACGACATGTGGTCAAGTGTCAAGTCAAGCAGGTACCCTGGTCCGTTTTCCCAACGAGTTTTATGGTAGGCAAATAACTTGGGCCCGATTTGTTTAATTCCGGGGAATTTATTGGAAGGCATTTGTCTCTATCTCACCAGTCGAGGTGAGAACGGACTTGGACTCATTGTTTTTTGAATAAATTAACACAGGAAGACTGGGCAGAGCACTGGTAGAAGGTCTAATTGTTGGAGAAGAGAACAATACAGTTAAATGAAATAAAGATTAATAGGAATATATCTCGTACACAGTATCATAATTTTTAATGTTATACTTTTACAACTAAAAGAATTATTTATTTTCCCCAAAAAGGGTCGAGCGTTGGATAAATGTAATATTTTCTTTGGGAATTTTTTGGTTATAGTATTGATTGATTCAAATCCAGTAACAAAGGCACCTTCAAAAGCTACGATCCCAGAAATTTGTGGTAACGGTATTGAATTACACACAACAGAATATAACAGTAAACTAAATCAGGAGATGGCCATAAATTTAAATATTAAATTTTCCTGTACAGAATTTATTTGGCACCAGCAACCCACGAATGACTTTAATAGAATATACCCAGCCTTACCATAAAACTAAAATGTTACTTTCCGTTTCAATACATGAATTAAGTAACACCCTGTACGTATTCACTAATTGAATTATTAGTTTTCTTACGACGATCGTCGTCGGTGGTCATTTATAATATTATGTTTGTAATGGAAATGAAGTGATTTGACGTAACGGTAAATAATTATAACCAAATAAACACAGCTTCCATAAATCATGGCGTTGTCTGGGATTTAAGAAAATTTCCAGTCAGGAATTTGTTCCGTAGTATTGGCGCCTGAATAACTTTACGGAATCAAACTTATTGCCTACTACGAGTAGATGTGACGAAACTCTATCTTAATTATGTGCATACGGTTAGGATTTATCGCTTTACCATTTTTAGATTTTTGAATTCTGTTAGTATTAGACTCAGACGGTGTCCCAAAGATTTATCTCAGATGACACTTCAACTAATTACCTATTTTTAAAGAAATCAGCTTTATATCAGTTAGATTCTGTAAATGTAGTCCAAAGTAATTATTTCCTAATCAGAGTATTGATTGTATTTCATATAAGAAGACCAGGTGTTTACAAACTTGGAAATAATTTTATCTGCTCCCACTATAGTAAATAAACTATTAATACATTATTTTTAAGGAGGTAAGTGGATTTTACCGTAGAAGTGGAAGTTGCTATGGGAAGTCAGTGAGGTAAATTATCTTCCTAGGGAAAAAAGCGAGTTCGAGTTATAAATGCACATTTATAGAAAATATTATATATAGAAATATTTGATGAACATTACATTTTATTAATTATTATGAATGAGTATTTAGGTATATCTAGTAATTGTATGTTATTACATTTAGCAACATTTATAAAATCTGGATAATTGTCTATTTCACTTTTGTTAGCAACTGTCAGCAACATAACTTTCTGCAATTGTGGCT